TTTTTAAAATTTTGTGTTCTCAGCTGTTTGGTAAGGATTCTTCCCATGGCGGGTTGGGCGGGGCGGTGGAAAGAAGGTCAGCCTGATAACACAGTCTCTGATCTCTTTTTCCCACCTCTTTTCATTTGGTTGGAAAGAAATTAAAATACTTTGGCAAGAAGAGGGCTAAAATTCAAACTAAGCGGAGGTCAAAGGCTAATACAATAATTATCTTGATAAAAGACACTGTCCATATCCCAGGCCTCTGGGTCTCAGGCCTGCTATACCCAAGACGGACTTCCAGTTTTAACAGATAGTCTAGAAATATTCAGTGGATTTTGACTGCGTGTCAGGTATTGTGCCAGGCATCAGGAAAATATCAGGTAGTACAAAAGCCAGATGCTTAATTATCAGGCAGTAGGAATTTATAACACCTGGAAAAGAAAAGGAAAAAAAAAACAAATAAACAGAGTGTGGGGTAGTGGGTGAATACAAAATCAGAGCATATGTAAGATATTGCTGGGTTTTGAGGGGTCATAATTTATCACCATTTTTCTTCCCCTGTGAGTTACAAACCCACTGAAAATAAACAGGGAGTTGGGCAGATGGAGAAAAAAAGTCAGCTTCATTACTGCTAAAACTGGTCTAGAGGACATGACCTATGTATGTGACCACAGTCTGGCTCCCTAATACTTGTTATCTGAGATGACCTTGTCCTTCTGTCAGGAAATTTTCTTTAGAAAAACCTAGATAACACAGGCCAGGGCTACAGTAGCCAGATTAGAAAAGAGAAATCTGAGGGTGTTCAGCAAGCGTCTACTGGTGGGAGAGGTAATTTGAAAACCTTGGCTGAACTTTGACCCACAAACCCAAGGCAAATGATAACCTTTACAGGCAGAAATTCTCCCAAGAAATAAAACTGTTATTTTAAAGTTAAAAGGACTACCAGCATGACAGGTGAGGTTGTAGAGGGTGTCCACTGCGCAGGAGAAAGTCGAGGGTGCCCAGCAGTTTTATTCTGGGTGGAAACAATAACGTCTGCTATTAGGGGGTGTGAATACAGCCAGGCAAGAGTTAAAGGAGTGGAGAAGAATATATCCGACATCCAGTGACAATAAAAATAATGTAGCATGCCACCAGGATGTTGGTGGCCCAGTCTAAACATTTGGGGAAAATCAACGCTGAAGTAAATTATGTACAGTGATCTGAGTCTGTGCACAAAAACTAGAGCACGAAGTCTGAACACAGGAATGTGGAAAGCAATCATCTGGCCTTGGAGCATCGAAATAAAAATTCCCAACAAAGTATCCGCTACTGATAAAAAAAAAATCAGTATTTAGGTGTACATTTTCATTTCTCTGATTTATTTTATCATGTCTCTCTTGCAAAAGTAAGTTTGTGAGGCCCTGTAAAAATGAAAATAGAATCTTAAATATAGTCCCTGCATGTGGTAGGAAGAATACTAAAAATGATCCCCCAAGATTCTCGTCTTGTGGTTATTCAATCAAACATGAGTCTACATACTGCTAGGAAGGGGTTTTGCAGATGGAATTAAGAATACTTATCAAGTGACCTTAAATAGGAGGATTATCCTGGATCCAGTGTAATCACACCCACCTTCAAAAGCAGCAGAGGAAGACAGATGTGTCAATCAGAAGATGGAGCCAGAAAGAGAGGCAGACAAGAGATACGGCAAAGGGGGAGAGGTCACAGATTCAAGCACGAGGAGATTCAACCTCATTTGCTGGCACCAAAGACGGAAGAAAGGAACCACAGCCAATGAATGCAGCCAAGCCCCCAGAAGATGACAGCAACCCCTTTATTTCCAAAAGCCAGAATAAAATGGAAAAACTGGTCCTACACCCAGTTAAACTGAATTCTGTAAACAACTTTAGAACCTCCTGAAAGTAGCACAGCCCTACTAGCATCTTGACTCTGGACTCACACAGGAAACCAGCTCTCCCATGTTTTGCTAATATTTCTGAAGCACAGAAACTGTGAGATAATAGATGGGTGCTAGTTAAGCCACTAAGTTTGTGGCCATTAGTTAAGCAGCAATGGAAACCTAATACA